TAAACCTCCAAGTAATTCAACTTTTAATTACATGTTTCATGGATGTGACTTGATCGACAAGTTGTAGAAATTAAAAGGCACACATAGATACATGTGTGTTGTCCTTGCGTGCTGCGCTTTGAAAGGCTCTCCGCTAAATATAAAAAGCGCCAGTGTCATTTCAAAGCCAATAATAGGCACGTGCGTGCGCGAGTTTGGTCCAAAAAAGCCGTGCATGGGGGTCTTGCTTGATCCACACAACGTGGCCGACTAGTTTATCGGGCCACGTGGTGCGGCCTCCACGGGCCTCCGTCCACGCCACACGCGCGCACCAAGGCCGACGACGGCGGCCCCCGGGGACGGGTGAATAATGCAATGGGCCCTCGACGTGTCTCGCTCGACGTGCAATTAATTAGTACAAAAGGCACAAAGGTACAATAAACGATATTGTGAACATGAAATCTTTATTAGATAATCTGCATTGTCTAGATAAAAATAAGAAGAGGAATATTTCCAAGGTTTTTAAATTTTTATTTGTTTTAATTCTTTAAATCCGTCTTTAATTGTAAAAAACTGTAGCTCTCAAGACACGACAAATATTAATAAAAAAAGTTGTGTTTTAATTTTCGATTAATTAATTTCGTTTTAATTTACATCAATCTTTTATTATGAATGATAAAAATTGTAACAGGAATTCCTTTGATGTGAAAAATAATTAATTTTAATTAAACAAAAATGCAAGAAAATTTGCAAGTCAAGCAGACACGCGGCCTTCTTTTGAACGAGGTGCCCTGACTTGGGTATACATTTAGCACACAGTTTGTGTGTGCACGTACACGCGGCAAATGCGATGCAAATGAAACACAAATAAATAAGATCACACAGAGTGCTGCGTAGTAGTTTTCAAAGCGGAGCAGCAGCTGCACGCTGGCAGCAGCGCGGCGGCGACGACGGCAGCTTTTTATCACAACAAAAACAACGGGTTCTCGCTCAATATCAGTGCCATGGACGAAAATCATCTCGAATGAAAAATATTGTGTGAATGTATAAAAAAAATAGGAGATCATGATTGTGCAGAAAGATAATCTGCTTTTGCATGGGACAACTTTCTTTCTTGAATTTTTTTTTGCACCTCATTAGGCGCAGTGAGAGCAGCACGTGGTGGTGCTCGCGGAATTCCGGCGAAGGCGGTTGGTCGGACTGAAGTGCAGCAGGAAATGGGGTTTGAGTGCGAGAGCAGCGTTTACATTTCAATTAGTTTGGTAATTGTCTACAGTTCCCCGGGGGCAAATTGAATTCTAAAGCGAATAGTGCAGGCAACCGCAGTCACATTGGAAATGACCAATGCATTCAGCTGAATTAATTTAATTTCGATTTAAGTGATTTTTTTATGGCTTCCTTCATTATAATAGAATTTTCCGTTCATATGTAAAAAAAATTCATGTCAGATTAGACATAAAATTAAGAGGTTTTAACTTTTTTCAAGTAAATGATTTTTCTAGAAAATTCTAATGACGATTTGATTAAAAATAAATTAAAAGTTATGTAATAAAAAATAATAAAAAAATTATCAAGACATGCTTTTGAAATGGAAATTAAGAATTTATCCAGTACAAATCGTATTAAACCAGTTTAAGCTAAAATCAATATTCAAGGATAATCACTTTTTGTTAAAACCAACCAACTAAGTGTGAATAAAATTTTAGGAAGATAACTAAAAAATTATTGATCTTCAAAAATTGTCATCAATTTTGTTATTGTTGGTTTGGCTGGAAAAGAGACGCTCCGAAGGCCCCCGGGTGGCACCTCGCTCTGGGCCAGAGGCCGTTGGCTCGGGGTGGGCGTGGCCCTGCTCTCCTTCGCAGCTCGTTCGCTCGCTTGGCCAATGCACCACACACATTACTTACGCACACCGACTTTATTTTCTGCTCGCCGCTTTTTAATGTGTCGCCTTATTTATTTAACAGCCGCACTCGATTTATACATAAATTTATTGTTTGATTGCAATAAATTCATGGGCGTAGCTCCACAACAATAAATTTGTAATTCCGATCGCGGTGCAACGATTATTCAAATTAATGAGGCGGCCGCTTCCGCGACTCGCGGATTTCTTCACAACCAATTCGGGTATTTAAATTTTTAATCCGCCAGCTTCGAAGCTTTCGGATTCAAAGCGATATCGAATTACACTTCTTTTTTTTAATCGAAGCAACGAACTCTTTCGGCGTCGCGCCCCTCCAGAAACAAAGAGGCCTGTGCGAATCAAAAGTTGGCCTGTCAGCTCTGCAGGGCGTCTTTGATAAGAGCCGACGCCGCGGAAAATAGGGGTGCCGTCCGTCAAAAGAGGGGTGGAAGTCGATTATGGAAAAATCTCCGATACAAACTTTGCGGTTCGTTTTGAGCAAGTATAACTTGCAGCCAAATTAATTTTTGAGATCCACCCACAAATTGTAAAAAATTCTTAAAACCCATTAGGCGACGCCCCTTCGTTAATGGTCCATAAAAGTAAGAGGCTGAAATAAAAACCATTCGTTATCTTTTGTTAAAATATAAAGGTAATCTTACAAGAGGCGCGACCTATACACCACTCTCTCAGAATTAGGTTGGTATCCCGTTTTATGTCGCGCCTGCTGTAGTGGTTTTATGTCGCGCCTACTGTAGTGGTTTTATGTCGCGCCTGCTGTAGTGGTTGATAAAGAAAACCGGTATTTATAGCTCACAATTACCGGGACTGCAGGAAAGAATAAGGGCCTTTGGGATGGGTTCAGAAGGGGAAGACAATCTTAACTGATTGCAAAAGACGTGACCTACCACCAATGTACGGGGAAGGGGGTTGTTTTTATATGTCGCGCCTCTTGTAATGGTTCACTACAACAGGCGCGACATATGCAAGTATTCTCATGGTAGGTCGCGCCTCTTGTAATCGACCACTACAACAGGCGCGACATATGCACGCAACGCCTGTGGTAGGTCGCGCCTCTTGTAATCGACCACTACAACAGGCGCGACATATACAATTAATAATGCTAAAAAAAAAAAAAAACGAAAGCAGCGAGATTGTGTGCACACCACGAACCAGACCACCCCACAAACCGGCAACTCGGAGGTGGGCAACCCCCCAAGATTAATTTTTGCAGAAGCCGCGAGCGAGGGGTGGAGGCGCAGCGAGGTCGAGGACGTGGGGAAGGCCGTGCGGAGGGCGAGGACAAAAGGGCGGCTGTGTTCGTGGGGGGCTCCGCAGGAGCCCCCCCACGATCCCCGCCCCTTTGTCCCGCCCGGAGCCGGCCTTCACCACGTTCTCGGGCGAGCGCGCCTCCAGCCCGAAGCTCGCAAACCCACAACGGAGTTGCCCACGAAGGGAGTTGTCTGCAAAGGGTGTTTTGAAAGCAAACGGTGTGGGTGCCCACAACTCCCTTCGTGGGCAACTCCGTTGTGGGTTTGCGAGCTTCGGGCTGGAGGCGCGCTCGCCCGAGAACGTGGTGAAGGCCGGCTCCGGGCGGGACAAAAGGGCGGGGATCGTGGGGGGGCTCCTGCGGAGCCCCCCCACGAACACAGCCGCCCTTTTGTCCTCGCCCTCCGCACGGCCTTCCCCACGTCCTCGACCTCGCTGCGCCTCCACCCCTCGCTCGCGGCTTCTGCAAAAATTAATCTTGGGGGGTTGCCCACCTCCGAGTTGCCGGTTTGTGGGGTGGTCTGGTTCGTGGTGTGCACACAATCTCGCTGCTTTCGTTTTTTTTTTAGCATTATTAATTGTATATGTCGCGCCTGTTGTAGTGGTCGATTACAAGAGGCGCGACCTACCACAGGCGTTGCGTGCATATGTCGCGCCTGTTGTAGTGAACCATTACAAGAGGCGCGACATATAAAAACAACCCCTTTCCCCGTACATTGGTGGTAGGTCACGTCTTTTGCAATCAGTTAAGAGATTGTCTTCCCCTTCTGAACCCATCCCAAAGGCCCTTATTCTTTCCTGCAGTCCCGGTGATTGTGAGCTATAATTACCGGTTTTCTTTATCAACCACTACAGCAGGCGCGACATAAAACCACTTCAGTAGGCGCGACATAAAACCACTTCAGTAGGCGCGACATAAAACCACTACAGCAGGCGCGACATACCAACCTAATTTTTAAATACTGGTGTATAGGTCGCGCCTCTTGTAAGATTACCAATATAAATTGTGCTCGGATAGTAAAATATTTTATTGCATTGTTTTATTTCATTTTTAATATTTCTTCCTATTTTAATTTTCAGAAAGAATGACTTTTATTTTAATGCGAGCAATTATTACTATTTTACTTTTTAATTATTTTTTACTCAAGTAAACTAATAAATTATCAACTGCCTTGATTCGCTGAGAATGATGAAAACGAGTGTCGTGCAATTGTCGTTAATTTGCATATCCAGAGTATGTTGCATGTTAATTACATACATACGAGCCCGGTGGTTCCGGTTGTAAATTTTGGCTCCAACGACCGCGCGCCTGCCGCCACGCCCCCTCGTATAATTTGCCCGTTTCGAGCTCCTGCGGTTCGATTGCAGACCAAGGTCGCTTTCTCAAAACCTCGCAACACGTTCCGAGGTTAAATAAAAATATCAAAAACAAATTGCGTGGATTTTCGGTGTCACTTGCGAATTCAACCTAGGGCTTAAAAAAAGAAGATTCGTTTTCGCAAATTTCAGCAATCGTTTCGGGAGAATTAGAATACTTAAATATAAAATGTAAATTAATTTTGGCAGAATTCGCGGAATTTTTCAGCTCCTTCCACGTAAAAACCGCTGCGTCAATCGGTTGCAAAAACAAAATTCTTCTCCGCGTTTTCTTTTTTTGGAAAACGGCCAGGACCCACCCAGATTTTTGGCTCCAACGGGCACTCGTGCCACGCCCCCTCAAACAAAGCCCACCGCGAAATCGGCGCCTTTCCCCGCCCCCGGGACGCCGAGGCCCCGCGAATGGCTTGAAATGCGATGAGGCCCCCTTCGGAAAGTAAAGTCCCGTCCAAAAAGTCCCTCAGGGTCTCACCTGTGTGCGTCCTGAGGTGGGCCTTGAGGTGCGAGCTCTTGCCGTAGGTTTTTGTGCATTCGGGGTAGGTGCATCTGTGGCTCTTCTTGTGCGCAGAACTGACCGACGACGAGGCCCCCTGTGCCCTTCTAGGCGCCCTCTTGGCAGGCATGGTGACGACCACCACCTCCTCCATGGCGGCGGGTCCCTCAAGGATCTCCTCTTCAGGAAACTCCTGCTTGATCCTGGTCAGGTCAGTGAGAATACGCGCCACCATGAAAAGGGGCTCCTGCTCTTGGGGGCCCACGCGGGCTCCGCACCGCAGGTCTAGGGGCGCGAAGAAGGCCGCCTCGCGGCCGTGCGACATTTCCAGCAGGCATTGTGCCGCGAAGTTCACCTCCTGGCACTCTTGGTCCATGCCGACGCTCGACTGATTCGAGTACCTGGCCTCTGTTGTCAACGCTCAGCGATGCACGCCCCCCTCAACTCGGTTTTTTACCGGCCGGCCTTGATAAACCGGTGTTTTCATCAAAAATTGGCCTATTCATTTCTTGCATATTTGACGTACCGGTATAATGAATTTACAAAATACCGGTTTGTCACTGGAAACCGCAAATTAATTGCTTTTCTGCTGTTAACGCCCCCCTCTAGGCTCTCGAATCAGTTTTTCGACTTTCGACTCTTTTCCAACGCAACCGGTTTCGCATGAGAATCCTCTGCATTCTATGCATTAAACTTCCTTCTATTTCGCTGCAACTCGCAATTAGACAATAAGTTCAAGTTCAAACATTTCCATTCCTATTTCCTATGAAGTTAAATGATAAATCTCTGCATCTCAAAATAATCCCCCTTGCGCTCTGTCGGCTCTATCACTGCTGTTACACTTTTGACAAGAACAGTAAAAATGCTTTTTCATATGAAATGAATATGAATATGTAATAAAAATGTAGACAAAAACAGAAAATTAAGATTTAACAAAAAACAAAACTTTATTTTAAAATGTAAGTGTGACCCAAAGCTTGTGACCTTAATAACCAAAATATGCAAATAAAAAATTTAAGACTCATTATTCTAAAACCAAATTTATTCAAAATGATCTATATTCATCTATGTGAAAAAAACCGAAAAAAACCATTAATGCCCTATTAAGTATAATTATCTATTTTTAATTTTCTTTTTTACACTTATTTACAGCTCTTAGATTTGGTTTCAAATTATTAGTTATTGAAGGTTATCAACAATTTTAACCAATCGTTTTTTTTCTTGCCTGAAAAATCTACATCTTTAGTAACTTAATTGGTCTGTCTAGACTGATGCACGTGCGAGCTCCGCACATGCTTATCAATAGAAATTGCAAAATTATTATGGTCGCCTCGTGTGCTCTTGTGCGATTTAATCGGAGTTGTATTCCAAATCGGTTTTCACTTAATTTGTAACCGTGCAAAAAATGTGCAAACAGAAAACGCCCCCCTTTTTCGGTGTTGCGGTTTTTGTAATTGAAATAAATAAAACCGATTAATAATTTCTAAACAGTACCATGTTCAACCACGGAGAGAAACAGAAAACTTTGTTCTTTGAACTGATACCACGAAACGCAAACAAGCATCAAATGACGTAAATTAAAAAGTGATGCAACTGAAATTGTAAATAATGAAATACATTTTCTAGTAATTTCCATGCTTATAACAACCGGTGTATTTCATAAATACGCGCCTGAAAAATAGAAAGTACCGAAATTAAGAATTTGCAGCTTTTTATTCGGTGACTTTGATTCAGATAGCCATTTTAACGCTATTCATGATTTTTTTTTTAATATTTTGGTATCATTTAAACTTAAAATGTAAACCGTTAATGCAAAAATATGAAATTTTTAAATTAAGCCAGATTTTGTATGGCGCTGCCATCTCTCGTATAAGCTTGCAGTCAGAAAGCTTTCTGTTCCAGTTTGACGCCTCGACGAGCAGAGGGCGATGAAATTTAGTCTGTAAAAGAAGAGTATGAATTTAGTGAGGATCTTGGTTGTGAGATGTGGTTAGCCGTTTTATTCACAAAGGATTATTTTATTTATACTTAATTTAAATGCAAAATATTTTTTATTAATTTTTTATTACAAGAAAAAAAGATAAATTTTTCGTTCGAAATATAGATAGGGACATAAAAAGCATAACGTGTAATAACAAATTGAGCAAGTGAAAAATAAAATATACATGATCTGATTTTAAAAAAAAAATCAAGAAATGCATTAAAAATTTATACGATTTACACTTGTATTGAAATTAAAATAATCGAGTGTCTGCAGCTCAACGCATGAAAGACTAGAGACTTTACAGTCTCTTTATGACTACTATTATTGTTGTTTTATTTGTCGAAGTTGTCTCATCACATAGGCTAAATATTACCACAACATTAAATAATTTTTTTCCAATTTTTGGTGCGAAAGGATAATACAAGATTAATTAAAAAAAGCACTTTTCATCAATTTTATATAAACTTGCTCAAAAAGAGAAAACCTTATTGAAAAATTCTTGAATTCCGTTCAAAATAAGATCCTCTTGAAAGCAGGTCTTTTAATCTAATAGAAAATATCAGTATTTCAAATAATTTCACAATTCCGTGTTATAGAAGAGGGACATTGTACACTTTTTGTGCATCTAAACTCAGGAAATGAGAGCATTTATGATGAATGGGTTTGCTGCAACAATAGGACAAAGCGGCGACAACCAACGTGTCGCTTGGAATGCAACAATGGGCGCGCGTGTGGCCTCCGATTATATTTTGTGTTGGTCGGTGCACACAGTGGGGACAAAACTTATTTTTATTTATTATTTGGATGCCTGAGAAAGTCCAGGTCGTGAGGCCATCCTCGTGAGAAAATTAGCATAAAAGCAGCGCAAAAACGACAAGTTGGTTGCATTTGTTTTCTCCGCAAGAGCAAAAGAAGTGAATTTTTTGTGTGCAAAAAAGCAAAGTTAATAAACGGTGACCGCGCGAGCTCACCGTTCTTGGGTTTGAATTGCGGCTGGAAGGAAAAGCAGAAACGCGAGCACAGGAAGTGCAGCACATTTCACATTCCACCTTTTGATACTCGTGCATATTTTGATATATCCACAATATACACACACGGCGTCGGGCGGGATATTTTCACTCGGCGTGTGTGTAAACAGACGTGCGACCAGACGCACTTTTTTATTTGGAGCACCGCACCACCGAACGCAATATACCGACCAAGGAGGCGTGCGAAAAATTATTTTTTCGTGGAAATATGGCACGCGCCTTGCCTAAAAATGGACTTCGGCCCAAGTGGTGCGTATTTTTAAAAGAGTCCGCCTGCAGATGGAATGCGATAAACTATTAAAAATGACGCGCCCCGCCGGTTTTAAGACCGAAACACTTTGGAATGCTTAACTGAAGGTGTGTTTGCTGGAATTATTTTTAGTTTCCCATAAAACTGCAGTACTGAAATATTGATTTTGTGAGTGAAGTGTTTTGTGGAGTTCTAAGTTTTGGAAATAATCTCTAGGCTATAAAAATTTCTTTGGCACATTTATTTCTCAATCCAGTGATTTAGATACTTTCTTTGCAATATTTCTGTAAATTAATATTATTAGTAATAAATTTGTTTCTAGAGACCCTGTGAGTATTGAACAATAATTAAGACATCTATTTAACAGACTATGTTGTTTGGGCTGGCAGTTCTGCATGTGCACCTAAGCAGGTGCAGAATAAGCAGATCAAAAAATTGACTATACACTAAAATAATTTGATTAGTAATTTCTATGTATGAACGAAGTTGTATTCAAACCAGAAAGAAAGATTGCATCAACAATCTAATTTTTAATAAAAATATTTTTCAAATTTTAAAGTTTAAAAAAATTTTTATAAATAATTTTTTTCCAATACCTTTGTAGTTTTTCAAAATTTGGGGTTGAGAATTTTTTATATTTCATAAAAAAATTATGTTACAAAACATGTTTAAATTTATATATAAAATGTAGTTTGTAAAAATTTTCTGCTCGCATTTCCTCCTTAATATTCAAGATTCATATAAATGCAAATATCAAGTCATTTATATAAAATATAGAATAGCTCCATCAAATATGTATGGAGGTGTGATTCGTTTCTACAAATTTATGAAGCTCCTAGAGATTGTCCTTTGCAATTCCGCCAAACAGTTGTTGGGTCACAAGGAAATCCAGCTTTTATTAAAAAATTCACGCTGATTTGCATGGCTCAATAAATTCCTTGAATGAGATCTAATTTATTATGTTGAATGTGCCCGATTGCTGGTGGTCGGTCGCTTAAGAAAGAAAAAAAGTAAAGAAATGCTGCTCCGGAGCTAGAGATAGGACGAGTGTGTGGATGAAATATATTATATATGTGGAATAACTAACTCGCGAACACGGTCCCCCATTTGAGCTCATTGGCATGGCATTTTCTCGGAATCAGGGGGCATAAATCAACTTTCTAGAGCACACCGCGCGCTCTCGGGTACGTACGTGGGGGATTAATAGTTAAATAAATCTGCCGAGACCAATATCAAAATAGCGAAAACGCCTTGGGTAGCGAATATCCCTATAGAGCACACCTACTGCTCAACCAAACCAACGATTTTGAATAAACAAATTCCGCGCAGAAACTTCATTTCTATCAGGCCATTAGCAAATTGGGCATTCTTTCCAACGTCTATTGAACGTTTTTAATCGTTCAACCTTGAATAGAAAAAATTTATGTTTGGACCTTGATTGTTTCTAAATTGATCATCTCAAAGGTATTATCATTTGTCAGAAGTTCTACACAATACGCCTTAGATATTCATAGCATATATGTTGAAGAAAGATGTTATGAACAACTATTATAGTTTAAAATTAATCAAGGACGTTTCCTTCACCTGTGTTTACCGCATTTTGTTTTTGTTTTAAGGAGAAAATTTTGAAATATCAGCGAATAAAGTCATTAAAGGCTCACAGTTATTTTTTTTATTATTTTATTCCGATTATTATTAAAGAACATTAAAAAAATATTTTTTTTATCCTTCTTGGGAAAGGCACCAGTGGTAAAATGATATAATGTTATTTTTAATTCAAATATAACCAACTTTTTTTTAAATAAATATGCCAAAATCAAAATAATAAAGTTAATATCTTATTATTTCAATTAACATGATTGTTTAGTTTGTGAAAAAGTATGAAGTAGTTGTGGAAAAACTCTTACAGATACAATAAACAGATGATAAGCCAGAAATGCAGCAATAATCTTTATAATGCATATTGTGTAATTTGATAATAAAGAATCAAAGGTACAATAATTGGAGTACTTTACGTTTAGATGTGTTGTTATAATGTTATAAAAAATTCGGGGGCCCATAATATGTCCGAAATAATTGTGTCCGAATCCGGAAAAATAAAGTGTCCGAAAATAATGTGTCCGAAATATTTTAGTCCGAATTTTTTCAAAATTTTCTCCGAAAATACTTCATCCGAATTTTTTTTCTCCGAAAAATGGTTCATCCGAAATTAAACTGTCCGAAATTGAGTAGTATGGTAATGTATAGTATTCTTATTTATTTAATTCACAGCCTGTTAAAAATAACGTTTGTCACAGAGTTCCAGATTCAGTCGAGGTTCATGGGTCTCTAGTTCGAGTCGTGCTGGTTGTCCTGACGCCGCTTTGGCCTCTGATGTTGGACTGGGTTTTGTTAAAATTAAAAAAATGTTTAAGTTATATATAAATAAATAGATATATAAATTCCTGTCTTTCTGCAACCCTCAAAGGATCGTACATTCTGTATGAAATCCTCTCCAGGAAAAGCCTGATGCTAATGCTCCCGTCAGCAAGTCTGTTTGTTTTTTGTTCCTTGATGAATCTGTCTTGGTGAAAGTATTTAAGTTTTCTTGTCCTTGCAGGCAACGTTCAATGATTTCAAATCAGAGAGTGCTTTCATTGTCAATGCCTTCAGTGCCGCAATGTATGGCCAAATTCCTGGATGGGCAGTCTTCACAATCCCTATTAGCTTTTTGTGGAAAGACTCTAAGCTGTTATTAGTCCTATGCTTGTGATTGTGTCTAATCGATAGCACTGCGGTTCACCATCATCAACCTTTTTGCCTCTCGCTGTACATGAAGGATATTTGGAGCACTGCAGGTACTTTGTTGTCACCTTCGGGGTTTTCACTGTTCTGTTGATATGCAGCAGGAATCCATAGTGAAGAAGAACTTCCTTTTTATGTTTTTGGACATCTTGTATTTACAGTCTCACTCACCTCAACCAACACAAAACAAACCCATAACCAGCGGATAGCCAGGGAGCAGGTGGGATTGCGCGGAAAGGAGTGCGCATGTTTCTGGTGCTTTTGAGGGAGACTAACTATAGTATTACTTCGGAGAAAGTTTTTTCGGAAAAATTTAGATTCGGAGGAAAGATATTCGGACAAATTATGGTTCGGATAAAAGTTTTTCGGATATTTTATATTTTTAACTTCGGACCAAATTTTCGGATGAAAGTTTTCGGACAAATTCCAGAAAAAACTTTCGGACACAATTATTTCGGACACATTAAGGCCCCTCAAAAATTCATGACGCAAATACAAAAACGTGTTTACTCGTTAAGTATGTAATTTTAATAAAATCTTTAAATGGTCCCATGCAGCCATGCAGATCTATTTTTCTGCTCATGTTATTAAATTCATTGTCAAAGAATGAATGAACTTCAAAAAAAAAAATTGAAATTATTTATTTATTTGCCTTTTCCTTTCACAATGTTTTCACACTGATTGAATTAATATAAAATGAGAATTGCCCTTTGAAGCTTGTTTAACATGTCGGACAAGAATTACGTCCCACGACCTATAATGATTTTGCGAGTGCCCGGCAATCCAGAAGCTCTGTTTGCCTCTCTCTCCCATGGTAATTAGCTCGGAAAACACGGCTTGGTTGACATGTAAATGCATAATGAATTGCTATATATACTGTGTTAGTGTTAGTGGTACCGCAGAGAGAGGTACCACAACAGTGGTCTAGCTTTTGCACAATTAGCCGAGGCGAGATGGCCACTAGAGATAGGCTAATGGTTGGCCGGGTGCCTCATGTGCGCGCCCACGCGGCCCTCCAAGGCCCACCCAGCAGTCCGTCGATGCCTAATTAATTGCTCGCGACAGCCACAAATCAACAGCCGCCTCCGGAGGCCGAGCCGAGGCGCGGTCCATCTGATGCCGCATTGTCTGCAATTTATTTATATTTCTGCGGTCGATGAAAAATTTGCTTGGGCCTCTTCGAAATGCTTCTTAATGTGCTCTGCAAACACACGGGGCTTGTCATATTCCCGCCGTTATTCTGTTTGGCATCACGACTACTTGGCGTGGCGGCGCACAATGCAACAATGAAAACTGCTTATTTATTGCACCTGCTAACAAGGTGTAAGTGATACGGATATTATACGGACGGGGAGTGTTCCAGAATGCTATTCAATGAAGCGAGCTCCCGCATATTCATTCATGATCTTTTTGAAGGATGTATATTTTAATGTCTGGTACTTTTTGTATGTAATCGTCTTATTGCATTTTACGATGCTCTATTAAAGGAATGACGCAAGGAATTATATTACACTCTCATGATTACACTTGAAGTTGTCCAAGAAAAAGAAATAAATAAATCCGCACTACTTGCGTAGGTTAAATTTTTATTCAGTTTTGAAAGACACGAAATTAAGTTAAAAATTTTTGTTTTACAGCCTTTTACAATTTTAATCCAAGAAAGCAACACTCCCCTGACATTCTAATTCAAAAAGAAAATAATTCAAAAATAAACTACTTCACATTTTCAGAGGTTGAATTGCAAACACCACAACTGATTAGCCACTGGTTATTGCCTATATTTCTCAAAAAAAAAGTATCTGGGAAATATTACCCAGATAATTTTAATTGAATCTGAAGTGCTGTATTGCAATTCAACCATTATTTTAGAATTATTTTTTTATATTATTTTAAAAGAAAAAGATTGCACTAGGTTTATTCGACTCATATTATACATATATTGTCAAGCGTTTGCAAAAATCAAAGTAAGGTTATGTTATGACCCATTTTCAAAATTCTCAAATCGCTTATCATGAGAATCTTTTGTAATCGCTCTATTTATTATATATTTTTTTTGCAAGAATGAAATATTTTGACGGATATAGTGGGTTGATAATCAACTTTTTTGTGTGTGTATATTTTGGAGTGAAACCATTTGAATACATATAGAAAAAAGATATTCACGTGAAATTCATTATTATGCAAAGTAGCAATTGAGTTTTCTCTGCCTCTCACATGAGCCCAAGGAGCACCACTAAATAACAATTCAACACATTTTCGTTCCACTCGAGGAGGATATTAGACGTGCATACCTATTTGGAAAGATAACAGGCCGATTTGTTCCGACTGGGAAAAGCTTTTAAATCACCAGATAGGTGTGAAAAAAACAACTCCCTTTCATCAATATTTCAAAAAAAGCAGCAAGTTTCTCCGACTCACGGTCATCGCGCAGTTTGTATTATAAATTTTGAACCTGTGGAGGGAATTCCGATGCAAATTCTTTCGCGTGTGGCAGCTGCCGTTGCTGGAGCAGAAAAGGGAGGCGAAAAGTGATGTTGTTTACAAATTTGCATGTCACGCGATTTGTCAATCGATTCCCGCGCGACAATGTTGCTCGTTTTCACCTCATTGATAACATCTCTGGTGGAATTTACGATTTCAGCACGTCGATGAAAAATGCGAAAAATTGTTTCGCAGACTTTCGAGCTGCTCGTTGAGTGGATAATTTCAGCGAAGGCAGTCGCGCCCACACCGGCGAATTTTGTATTGGAATCTTTATTGCATAATTCATTGCGTGATTCGTTTGCGGCACAGGAAAAAGGGTCCATTATTTGAATCTGACTTCTGACCTTGGTGTTTGCATTGTTTCAAAAATCAATTCAAGCGCAGAAGACTTCCTTCTCCGCATCTTATCGACTTGGAACCTATTTTGATATTGTGAATTTAAGTTGCAGTTTGGGACATTAATTGAGATAGCAATCATTAAAATAGCTCCAGAACAAGTAAACTCCTTTCTCCTATTTTTATTAAATAAAAATTTATCATAATAAAAAAGTGCATTAAATATCTCTTATTGTTAAAGTTTCTTAAGAAAAATGGCAATTGTGCTGCTAATTATATAATTCATTTAAATAATTTTATTTACAAATAGCTACTATTAATATTAGTAATTTTAAACGTTTTTGAAAAAAAATTTATAACAAGTATAACGAAAAATTATAATCAAAAATTCTTGCATTAAAATAATTTTTTGATGTTGGTATTCTGTATATTATTATTTTTATTTTTACATTGCTGAAACAAGTTCTTTTTGGTAAGTTAAAATGGATCTGATTTTCTCAAGATATTATCACTTGTCAATTAGAGTTTGCGAAGTGGCAATTATTTATCATACATCACGAGAGAGCGCGACAGTGGTGCGGCGCCGTATCGGTTGCTCGTCTAATTAAAGCCCGAAAGCGGCTTACATTCGCGAGATGTCACGGCCAATTTATCACTCAATCGGTGCGCGCCGTCGTGTGTGTTTGGTAGGTCTATAATGGAATCGCGCACGGCGGCACCTCATTAACTTGCACACGTCGGCGTGAGAAAAGAATTTAAGTAGACGTACGTGCTGCGATGCAATTAGGGCCGGCGATCAATTAGAAGGCAGTGCACGTGGCCCGCGAGAGGCGGCCATGGTGGTCCAGCGCACAGGGCAGGCGTGGCCGCCGTTTGTCATCTTTATTGCCTGTGCAGTCAGGCAGCGACTCACTACCGTCGGGGTCACGCCCAGGTCAGGGGTCGGCCTAATTGACTCGCTCGCATCCACAAACACACGTACGTACGATTGCATAAATCACAATTATTAGCGGGGCCTTCTCATTTGTACACATCTCTTTTATTTTGTTTTATTGCTTCATTTGAGAAGATGTAAGGACGCGCGTATGATCTCCTGGTATTGCTTTGTTGTTAATGTACGCTCTCGCAGAGATTTGCATAATTTTGAAGGTCGTTTGCCCTCCCGCCCGCCATTCGTATATACATTTAAAGTTATATAGGTGTGTGTATATATTTATTTATTGCGTTTGCGAAAAAGAGAGATGCTCTTATGGGATTATGGAGGATGGGCGGCCGATTTAGGCTCGAAGAGAAATAAGGGATTTTTGTTTTAAGCCCTTGGAACAAGTTCAAAAGTGAAAGGCGCGCAAGAATTAAAATTATAATAATAAATTCCCCCTTGATTGTCACAATGAGCGAAGTGTGAATATTTAAGCTTTTGCTGATTTCCATCTTAAACCAATCAGAAAGAGACGTGCTGATTTCACCACCTTTGTATGGAAAGGGATTTTACTTGTCAGATTAATCTGTCATAAGTTCTTGGCAATCATCAATAATAATTTAATTGTATTTCAATTTAAACAGAATATTAAATATAAGCTACTTTATTTTAGCCGTACACAGTTTTTTAAATACGAAAAATAATACATTATTTTCAATTTCTAAACTGCTAACCTACAAACATTATATATTTTAAAATTAAAAAAGGTTGCACCGGCACAATACTTACAAAGATGAAAATTAACTTATATTATTGCTTTTTGTGTATTGATATTAGTATAGTATTACACAGCTTATTCAACATAATTTGAAATGTTTTACTATTTCCTTTTTAAGTTTTGCTTCAATTTAATATTTATTATTGAACATTTTCATAATATGCTCTCCATTGGATCCTTAATAAATATACACATGGTTATAGAGGGGAGAATAAACTTGAAAACCGCGCAATCATTCAACAAGGTTCAATAAAAAGCAATTTTTCTTCATTTATTCATGAATTTTGGCCTCCGGCTGGTTGCGCACGTTGAAGCTGCTCTTGTTATAACCTTTTTGCTTTTCAAATAATACACTCCACAAACTGCCTCTTGGATTGATTTACACTACATATATATTCTAAATGTTTTAAAATTTTAAATCCTTATTTTACCTTAAATATAGCTTTATAATATTAAAAATTCAATCTTTATTTGACTTTTCATTTTCTTTGCACCTGTGCAAAAAGGACCCTCGTCACAACAATCGCCGTTTTCTCAGAATTCGGATACAAACCGTGCAATCAGTTTACTGATCGGTTAATATTTTTGTACCTTTATTACTGCTCGTCAGCTTGTAAACGCATCTTGTAAACCCATTCTTGGAAATTTTAAGTACTCGTGTATATCCTCGCAAAGAATATAAAGATTAGCTCCGAGTGAGAACTTATGGATGCTGAATTCACCTTATAAAGGTTTACGGGTTAAAGTTTTTTTTTTAAGCAAAATCAAATTATCGCCCCGTTCATTTTTCTAGAAAATTTATGTATTTTTTAACAAAGCGTCTTGAATTGTCCAAGCAAACATTAAGTGATCAATCTCAAATTCCAAACTTTCCTTCAAAACAGAAGTAAAGAAATAAACATATTTTATGTCCATAAAAAAGTTGTAACAATCGCGTGAAAAGGTTCCTAAAAGCTTTAATTCGAAGCCATTAGTCATTCAGTGGCTCTAAATTACAGGAAAGAAAATTCTCCAGCTCTGTACGCACGTCTTCCTTTTCTACTTTATATATTGTTGATATTTGTTTATTTATTTGTCCTGGCGTGATGAATGTGGTGGTGTGAATGGTGTGTTTTGTTGCCCAGGCCATTTGTGGTCTGGCCAGCCTCTGCCAGCCAGTCGAGTAAAAAAAAAACACACGTGTGTTCATCTTCATCCCGGGATTATTTGTCAGTAGTTTTGATTCTTTGTGTGTTGCTCGCGGGGAGCAGAAGAGAGCGGCCGTAAAACGCAGAGAAAGAATCATGGAAGGGCCCCGTTTATTATGCATGGGATGCTAACGTGACAAAAGTGACGCCTAATAAAACACACGGCACACACGTGTCAATCCAATTAGACTATCAACAGCCAAATTGCCTTCTGACATGGCAGCTCAATTGGAATAAATTCCAGATTCTTTTACAATGTCAGTCTCTGTCGAGAGAGAAGAGCCGCTTCAGCCTCTCGAGCACTCAAAGTTAATTGAATTTAACTTTTTAGGGAAAAATCTCTTTCTCTGCTGTACATTCTGTTTCTTAAAAAATTTGACGTTTCTTTTTTAGTGTAAGACGCCATCTGACATTTCTGACTTGTAAATTTACTTTTTCGCAGAAAGTATTTGGCACGCAAAATTATCTATGGTTTTTTTCTATGTCGGCAAATTCCAGCAAACACTTGGCCTTCCTTATAATTTTTACATCAATTTGGAATTAAAAAAAATATAATAATAATATTTAGGAAAAATGATATTTAAATAAATAAATTTAACAACACAAAATTGGAGTTCAGCAAGCCAAAATTGAACGTAAATAAAACTGATAGTTTTGCACTGTATTCAATTTAATTGACGAATGAACAACAATACAAAATATTATTTAAATCCACAACTCAAATTTTCACTGCCGGGGATAATTTATTTTTAATTAAATCAAGTGGAAAATTACAAATAAATAATAAGCTTACATTTGGCTTAAATTAATCCCTTTTCTTACTTTGCAGGTGGTGCTTGCTGCGGAGGGTGCAAAAGGAACAGGGTGCAGGTCTTGCGCGTGGCGGCTGCGGCGGCCGCGGCTGCTGCCGCCGAGTCCCGCCTCGGGGAGGGGACTGAGGGGTGGAGTGGCGCGGCCGCTAGTCCTGCTGCTCGGCTTGAGTCAAGTCAGTCAGTCAGTCAGTGGGATAGACAGAGTGATCGGCGAAGATCGGCACCGGCACAGCATCCCGCAATCTCTGCAGTGTTGATTATCCTCTCGTGCGCCGTGGATTTTTCCTGAATTAGTGAAATCAGTGCTTGAGTGTCCGACTTTAGTGTGAGTCCAAAGCGTCCGACAGCGTCCGAGGCCACCGCGATGACGGCGAGCAGCACCTGACCCCGCCGGACTTCCTCATTTCACTCGCAGCTTGGGTTTCGGATCACAATTTCTAGGTGAGCCAATTATCTGAGAAAATTAAAAAAGAATCATGGAAATTAGTTACATAGACAGAAAATGAATTAGAATATGATATAAATTATGAATAAATTCAATCAAGTTCAAATTAAATTTGGAATCCGATTTGAAAGTAATCTCGGAGCGAGTTGAAAGCAAATAAAATGGTTTGCGGTGCGAATTTTCTTTTTATACGCTACTCCGGCAGTTGGAGTTGGAGGTGACGTCTTTTTTTTATTTTTTGCCGGCGTAATTGAAATGGCTCATCTATACGGCATTGCGTGATTGGCCAAGGATTTTATCTTGAACTATATTCTGCGTGCGTGGACTGAATAAGTGGTCCATGAATTATTCCGCCTATTAAATTAAACGACGCACAATCAATTTTCACTTGGCTCTTTGCCCTCAGCACCAGCGTCCATCCAATCCGCAAAACTAACACCATAACCGCAAACTAGATTTTCCTGTCATTTTTTTTCTATCGCACCCGTGTGACCATTTTTGGCGACCAAGAAAAATTGGACAAAAGTTGGCTTTAGTGAAAGCACTCTCAGTAATTGGATAAATGTAAAATTCTAATTCAATTCATTTTATTTTTCTCCAAACATACTTTAATGTAATTATTTACTTGCGGAACTTAAATAATATGTATATAAATTATAGTATTGAAAATACCATCTCGCAGAGAAATTAACACAATTTTTGTTCTAATATAAAAAAAGAACTAAAGCACGATCAAGCCGTTGAAAAATTAGATTTTTAAGAGCAAGTTGATCAAGTTTTAATGAATATTCTTAAAAAATTATATGCAATACTTTGCGATTCTTTGTAAGTTTCACGTTATATAGTGATAATTTAAGTTTGACGCACTGAAAATATTAAGAAATTTTGGATTTTTACCCCCAACTAATTTTAATTAAATTTGCAGTATTACACCATGAAAAACTGATTGAATGAAAATTTAATATGTACCCAACGCATTCCTGGCAGCTCACACCTGAGTATTCTCCACCTTTTCGACGAAATCGAAAAACACACATACGCAGTTAGTCGGTCTCGTCTCGAGATTAGGAAGCGGCCGAAATTTCCAAATAACACCACGTACCTAATTTCTTTTTTTCTTCTCCGAGGCTCGGCTGGGTAGGATGCGTGTTTGAGGGGCGGGCGTGCGATAAAAACTTATAAATAAAGCACCGAATAAATGAGCAGCGGCGGCTAATGGCTTTTTGTTTGCGCTCGCAATTAGAAGGTCCCGAGCAGGCCCTGCGCCGTCGGGGCCCTGGGGCCCACCTGACCGGTGGCTCCAGCGTGTCGTCGCCGCGCTGATTGGCCATGCAAATCAGGCCAGCTAGTCAATGGAGCAGACGCCATTCATTAACGCCAGCCGCCGATCCGTTTTATTAGGTGCGTGCGGCCCCCCAGTTTAATTCGCTTCCATTATTGTCGCGCGAGCAGCTCTGTTCTTGTCTGCAAATACACACATATGCATATGTTGACCCGCTCGTAAAAATCGCCAACATCACAAAATTGTCCTCTCTGCGTGCACATACTCGTTATTTCCGAGAGCAAGCCAGCGGGCGAGCCGAGATTTCTCTCCACGGTGAGACCAATTAATTGGAGTTGTTGGTGGAAAAATAAGGAATATCGTCTCTGTTGACTCGGAGTTTTATGTGCTTTCAATGGACTGTGGTAATTTAGAATGTTAATTAAAATCAAATGCTATTAGTGAACGCTGGTATTAAATTAACAACCGGCCAGTTTATTTTATTGATCAAGAGCAGATCTTATTTATGTAAATTTTGTTCCGAAAGTGTTCTTAGCTCAGTTTGCACAGGTGAGTTTAGAATTTGTAGTTTACTTATTCCAGACTAATGTTATCGATTGTGATTTGCAAATGCTATTGAATTGAAATTGAAATCGAATATATTGGCATCATAACCAAATAACCTTGTAAGCTTTGATATTGAAAAGAAATATTTGCAAAAATAGTCTTAAAATGAAAATGAATTTCAGTGGCCATTTTTTCCATATGATTTATTCTCCTTAAACATTACCTTCAGTTGAGGAGTTTTGATTAATTTAATAAAAAAATAGAGTCTTAACTAATTTTTATGTAGTAAATATGTGCACAAAATTCGTGATTTTGATTGTTCAAAAATGATTTTTTTTTAAATTTGATAATCATGGGGTAGGTTCAAAAATAATCAATCAAGAAGTTAAAATTATAAATATTTTCAGAGTATAGATTTAAAGAATGTCTGGTGTGAGGTTTCCAATTTTTTATCCGAATCAGCACTTTTATATCAGCTGGGTCTGCGTGACATTCTGCACGGTGTCTGACCTTTTTATGCAGACGTCGTCCATTAACGCACTTAACATTCACCTAATTGGCAGGAGTTGCGCATGAATGAAACTGCAAACTTGGCAACTTTCTGTTATTCGATAAATTTAATTTAATTTACTTTTTCAACAAAATTAACGTCTCCCAGTTGCCACTGGAGCCGGTTTCAATCCGTGCGCCCAATCACGAGGAGGAATTCATTAATGGTGCAGGCCGCATCGTATTTATTAGTGTCAATGAGAGACATGAAACCGTAATTCCACACTAATGTAAAATACATACAGAAAGGAATAAGGCGGCGACGAGGTATGAGAAGTTTTTTTATTGAAAATGTTAAAAGTTTCTCCCAAATTAAGTAATTATACTTGCGAGTATTTATTCTCGCTTTTTGGTCATACAAAGTGGAAACGGGTCAATAAATTTAATTTTCCTAGGCAGAGAACATATCTCACAATCAAAAGAGCCCGAACAAGCACCAAGTTCATTAAAAGCGTTTTGTTCCTTGTCTCGTTCGGAAAGAAAAAAGCAACCGACGAAGACAGTTTATACTTGGCGACCAGTACGCGCTAATATTTCAAAATACATAGAGGGGTCTTAATAAAAAAAAAGGATAATTGCACGCCTTTGATTTTTTTTGAAAAGGAGTTATGCACGTCAGCGGATATTTTTCAGCACTGGGTATACTTTGAAAAGCGATGTCTTAGTAAAATATTATGAAACGCAGTTGCTCTGGCTCTGAGCCTCTCGCACACACACAACTTTAATGGTAATTATTTATCACTCCGGCGGCGTGTATTTTCGGCGGCGCCTATCTCCGGCAAAGCCGTAAAACCCACTTGTACGCACTCTGTCAGGGCGGTTTGCTTGAAATATTGGCCCGATTCTTTTAATGCGGTGTTTATCACACAAAAAGTAGGTTGGGAACACGCTCGGAATTATTATTATTTCTGCCTCCGCCGCCCTCCGCGCCTCACGCGGCCGCTCCAACGTCACAATATTGAGAAATTGCGCGCACTTCTTGATTTATCTTCCGCGGTCTGTCAGAGAATTTTAAGTGCTGACCTTTTCCATATCGTCTCTTTATTCCTCTCTGTGCTACTGAAACCTGCTCATCTTCTCTGAAGCTCGAAATTTATGTGGCGCGTTTCGACGTTTTAAATGAAAAGGCGTGTCAAAGTTTAATGACTGCCTAGAGGAAGCCTTTGGTCTTATTTTCCACCTGTTGGAGAGCTTTTTTATTTAATTAATAGAGACATTTTTGGTTTTGATATTCTCTGATCTAAATATCACTTTGAGAAGCTAGGAATGAACTTGAAAACTTTTTCTAAATGACATAAATTTGATGGGAATTTCTGAATTAAAATTCAAGTAATAAATGCGAAAAATGACGCGTATATAAATACAGTTGAAGTAAAATGTTTAATTGAATAAAAAAAATCTCGATTCTGTTGGAGTTTCTGTCAATTAATCATAAAATAATTGATGAAAATTCCTACTCCAATGGGGAATAAATCACCCGAAAGGCCATGGTTATAAACAAGCTTGAAGTTCAAGTTTTTATAATGTTTGTTTATAATTTAAATTCAGAGGTATTGAGAGAGCTGAGAAAATTAATGCATGAAATACTTTTGTAAAACAGGTGTTCAGTACTGCAAGAGTCAAGTACTTCTTGCACGCACCTTGTTGGCGAAAAACGAAATAATATTTCGCGAACTCCTCCTTTATACACCTGCAGTGGTATGTACCGAGGGCAGCGCAATTGCTGGAAAAAACACGCCTTGTGGTTGTTTGTCCACTGCTTGTTGCCAGCAGATCAAAAGGCCAGATTGAGGGCGGTGCAAATCGGCGCAATGTACATGTTTCAGAACAACTTTAGTAATAATATTATTTGCAGAAAGGAATTAAAATCAGCCGATCGCCCCGCTCGGCACCGAAAAACCTGTGGTCAGACTGGAGAAGCGCCGTTTAAAATGAAAAATTACTATTTATTTCGCTCTCTTCTGTGCAGCGTTTTTAAATATACAAGTTAAAGAGGTGATCGGTGCAGCCGATATTAAAAACGCGGGTAGAGAAAGAGACTGCTGCTGGGAGGCCTCAGCAGGTTGTTTTAATTGATGTCGCGCGATAAATTAATTGCGAACTGTGCCAAGGACCGACGGGGGCCTCGGGGGCTGCGTTGCCACGCCCCTTCGCCCCACACGTGGGAAAGTCGCTGACCATTCAGCCGAGAGACTTTCGACTTTTCGCAAATAAGCGCCGGCCACCAGTCGGCGACGGCAGCGATTTGCATAAATTGTTCGTCGTTTATCAGATTTAGGCCGGTTCTTCGAGTGTGGCTTTGAAGATGTTTGCTAAAAATTAGCCAGAGTAATGCAATAAAGTCTACTTAAAACTGGTATATTTTTGTACCATTTTTTTTCTTTTGCAGATACTTATTTTTATCCGACAAAAGTGTGCGGGGCTCTTAAGACTGAAGGCTAAATAAAATTTGGAAAAATATACGTTTTTGACACGATGCTTTGAGAAAAACACAATTTTTTAATGTAAGAATTTTCGTTTTGCTAATTAATTTATTCTTTATTTAACTTATTTACATTCCCACAGAACGGAATGTGCGGGTTATGTGGTTTGAATGTAAAAAGTTTCGGTGTGTGCCTC